GCCTCCCTTGAGGGGAGACCGCTCCTCTCGCCCCCGCACCGGCCTCTGGGGCTTAGCCACCAAACTGGCCTCAATCCGTCGGTTTGTGGGGTCTACAGACCCCTGGCCCGTCTGAGAGATGCACAGACCTCTTCTGGCTCTCAGAGCCTCAGAAATCCGTGGCTGCCGCCATAGTGCCTCCACCGGAAGTCCTGTTCTTTTTTAATGTGGATAATCTGTATATTATGGCTTCTACAGCTCAACAGTTTTCAAATGGTATTGCAATCATTGTTGAGACAAGTTAGTGTAACACTGAAAACCTTGCCATGAATCCAGATGCCAGCTATGCCTCACACATCTACTTGGGAAATGTCATCATAGGACCTAATTACATCACCCAAAATAATAGAGCCACTTTTCACTTGCTAAATAATAGAGTCGACTTCTTCAGAAGCATGGAGAGAAATGCCTAATAATAAACCTTTATAGGTAGACTGTGTGTGTGAAGAGCCATAGAAATGCCAAACTTGTGGATATGAAGAGGATGATATAGGAGACAGTGATCCAGGTTGAAACTATTTCTTTCCATAGGATCCTATTGATCTGCACCAAACCCCGAAGGACACAAGAGACATTGATCTAGGTTGAAACCATTTCTTTCCATGGGATCATATTGTTCTGCAACAAAGCCCATAGGATACAAGAGACTGCTGATGGATGTGCAATGAAACAGGATGGGAAACTTTTGATGGTTCCCACTCCACCTGTTTTTCAGTTGTAAACATGGGAGTAAAATGTGATAAGAGGTAGAAGCTTTGAACATGATTTATGGCCCGTATTCACAATTCCCTCCTTTCAGGACATTTCTGTCACTTTTCAACCCTGGAACATGTAATGAGCACCGTGCCTCTACATGCTTGAAAAGAGGCTGAAGTGTCCTAGGAGGGGGAAATTTTTCAGTATGATAAGGTGGTTATACTGTAGAAATGGCTTTTTCAAGTCTATTTCAGGGCTATTGATAGTCACAATTGTTATGCAAGAAAGACCTTTCCAAATCAGCAAATTCTTGGAAATGTAATATTGTTAATTTATTTATTTATTTATTTACTCCTTTTGTATACCGCAAATATCAGCCAACGGCGACTCTAAGCGGTTT